CTCCTGCGTCGCTCCCAACCTCTGCCTGTGCCCGGATGGGGAGCAGGGAATCACCTGCCCAGGTACGTCCCAAGGGATGGGGGGACTGTGAGTCCATGGATGCCAGGCTGGACCCCCTTCCCTCTCCAGGCCACAAATCCCAAGGGATGGAGGTGGCCATGATCCTGCGAATACTGTGCCAGACTCCCTTTCCTCTCCATACCACTTATCCCAGGAGATGGGGGTGGCCATGTGCCCCCTTCCCTCTCCACGCCCCGAATCCCAAGGGATGGAGGTGGTCCCATCCTGGCAGGGCCCGTTGCTCCCTGTCCTCTCCGCTTGCAGCATTCCAAGCACTGTCCCCATCCCTGAGGCGTCCGTGGATCAGGGTGGGAGCTGGGTGCTGCCGGGGTGCCCCCGGTGCCTGGTTGACCCCACCTCCACCCCCCAGATCCGCCGGGAACGTGCGGGGAGTACGGCTGTGACCTGTCCTGTAACCACGGCGGCTGCCAGGAGGTTGCCCGCGTGTGTCCCGTCGGCTTCTCCATGGCGGAGACTCCCAACGGCGTCCGCTGCACCGGTGAGTGGGAGCGGGAATATCCCGGTGGGAGCGGGCAGCCGGAGGTCCCACATCCCAAACCCAGGCATTCCCGGCGTCCCCCCAGACATCGACGAGTGCCGGAGCGGGGCCTGCGAGGGGCCGTGCGTGAACACAGAGGGCGGATTCGTGTGCCAGTGCGGCTCCGGCCGGGAGCTCTCCACGGATCGGCGCAGCTGCCGCGGTGCGCGGGGGGCCGGCGGGGAGGCCAGGAATGCCGAGGGATCCTGACCCTCATCCGCCCCCCTCCCGACATGGACGAGTGCCAGGCCGCATGGCCGCTTGCGGACAGTGTCGGAGCTACCGCTGCTCCTGCCGGCCTGGATACCAACTCCACGGGAACCGGCATTCCTGCCTGGGTGAGGGCCGGGATGGGGCCCTTCCCGCTCCAGGACATGAATCCCCAAGGGATGCAGGTGGCCATGAGCCTGTGGACACCACGCCAGACCCCCTTCCCTCCCCATGCCATGAATCCCAGGGGATGCAGGTGGCCATGAGCCCCTGAGCACTGTGCCAGACCTTCATCCCTCTCCATGCCCTGAATCCCAAGGGACGCAGTTGTCCACGGGCCCACGATCCCAGTGCTGCCACCTTATCCCTGTCCCTGCCTGGGCCATGCTGGGAGCACATCCCAGCGCTCCGGGCTCCTCCCTGGGTCACATCCCGGGGCGTGACACCTCCTTCCACATTCCCTTTTCCCGCAGATGTGGATGAATGTCGGCGGCCGGGAACGCGCCGCTCCTGCCAGCACAGCTGCCACAACATTCCCGGGAGCTTCCGCTGCTCCTGCCGCCCTGGATACCGACTCAGCACAGACAGGGTGTCCTGCGAAGGTATCCGTGTCCTTCTCCGGGCTGGGAGAGTGGAGCAGGACGCTCCCGCTCCTTGCCTACCCCAAGTGATGTCTCTTCCTTCCTGGATTCCTTCCCAGGGTATCCCAAAGCCATCCTGGCCCCGTCACCCATCCTGCAATCCCTGCAGCACCCGCCCACCCTTGTCCTGCTCCCTCCCGGCTCCCACCTGCTCCCGAGGGGCTCCCCCTCTCCCCACATCCCTGTGGCAGCTCCTGGGACCCAATTCCCACCCTTTTCTCCATCCCTGTCTCCCGGTACCTCCATCCCACCGTCCCCTCGCTGTCGGCACCGCGGGGTTTCCCGGGAGCCCGGCGCTCGCTGGACAGAGCCAGGATGCCGGAGCTGCACCTGCCAGGTGAGAATCCCACCATCCCACACCTTTCTTTGGCACCATCCCGACTTGGGATGAGCCACGTGTGTCCCGGCAGGAGGGACGAGTCCTGTGTGACGCCGTGAGCTGCTCCATTCCCTGCTCCCACCCGCTTCCCGCTCCGGCTGGGGGGTGCTGCCCCACCTGCACAGGTGAGTCTCGGCCCCCCCGACCCCAAAATTCCTGGGATATCCCTCCCTGATCCCCCCTGGATCACAGGGTGCCTCCATGAGGGGGTGGCCAGAGCAGAGGGCGATGTCTTCTCCCCGTCTGATGGGAATTGCTCCGTCTGCATCTGCTTGGTGAGCTGGATCGGGGTGGGAGAATTTCCCCGGAGCCCTGGGGACCTCCCAGCCTTGGGGACCCTCATCCCACCTCCATCCGCAGGCCGGGAACGTCTCCTGCCTTTTCCCGGAATGCCCCGCAGGCTCCTGCCCCAGCCCCTGCCATCCAGGTGAGACCCCCAACCCGGGGCTGTGGGGACCCCTGGGCTGGGATGAGGATTCAGGAGGATCCACGCTTGGATCTCCAGCCCTCCTGACTCCGCCTTTCCCAGCCAAGTGCAGTTTCCAGGGCCGCACGTACGCTCACGGGGCCCGGTTCAGCCCGGACGGGGACGGATGCACCACCTGTGTCTGCCAGGTGGGGAAACCCCAGGGATGGGGATCCCACGGGATGAGGAGCCGCAGGGATGGGACACCCCAGGAATGAGGGTCCTCAAAGCTGGGGAATCCCAGGGAGGAGGGTCCCCACGGATGAGGGTCCACAGGGATGGGGGTTCACAGGAATGAGGGTCCCCAGAGACCCTGTGGGTATCCCAGCTCTCTCGAGGCTGGGGCTGGATGTGGGGACACCCGGTGACACGTTCACACGTTCCCAGGGCGGGGAGGTGGAATGTTCCTTCGCTCCCTGTCCCATCCTGGACTGCC